TCCAGCACCGACCGACCTGGGAAAGCCCATCTGAGCAAGAGCTTGTAATGCTTTGCGCGCCATAAGTACTCAGCCAAACCATAGAGATGGCGCCAAGCTTGCTTCGTAGGCCTTGACATGGATCGGGCCAGGCAAGCTATTGCAAACTGAGCGTCAGGACGTTCCGGAGAAACATACAGCAAGGAACCAATTGCCCCCCTGAACTTTGATGTCTGAGCCTCTGACAGCGGATCACTCTCATCTCGAGACAAAATGTCTTGGGAGCAAGGTACCCTGCGGCGCTTGGGGTTCACCACGTTCAACAACTCGCACACTCGATCAATGTACTTGGGATCCAGGGTGATTTCAAGGCCTTCGTCCGTCACCGTGAACTCCTTCTTCAAGAAACGGAGGATATCACCTGGTTTGCGCACTACATCGGAAACTTGGACCTTATACTTCTTGTCTAGGACCTCAACAACTGCATCAACTCCAGCGGGAAGGCCCCCAAGTAGTCCATCATCCACATGAACAGTGGCTCCTGATGATTCTTGTCCGAGCACTGCGGGGCAAGCAATGTCGACTGAAAGTCCGGAAGCTTTCAGATCTCCTGCGAGCTGTTCACCCCACCAGGCAGATGCTGCCTGCTGTCCTGGCAAACAATAGTGAACTTGGTAGGTCTTACCGCCCAACTCCACGTACAATTCCTCACGTTGTGGAACACAAAGGAATGCGTCTTTGACATCGAAGGATTTCATGATCCATCCAGGTTTTGAGGTAAAGAGAAGAGGAATCACTCGACACACAGCAGGATTTGTTGATGGGGCATACACATCAGACCGATTTGGGTCCCAAATCCTGAGCTCTTTACACACTAGACGGGCTCGCCTCTTCCAGGCCTTATCCCGGAATCGCCAATCATGAACGAACCTTGTGCGCAGAAGTTTGGCACCAGAGGGGAGGTCACTAACAGCTTCAAGGACTTTCATGTGCTCCAGCCTGACGACCTCCTCATCTTCAGCCATGAAGTCAACCACCTTGAGCTGATCCTCAAGCAAGTCAGGCGGGCCATCAGCTTCTCTCAAGTCGGACCAATCAACCTCATCATCAGTGTCATCCCACTGAGCCTCAAGATGTTCATCCCCGCCATCAGGATCCATCTCCCATTGCTCGTCCAACGTGTACAAAGTGTCACCATCGACCTTCACAGTTTGAACCAATCGTTGATGCTTGCTAGGAGGTTCAACATCTGCTTCAACAGGATTTGTACTAGGCTCTTGTTGGCTGCGTTTTGGGATCGGACTCGAAGTATCCATTGCAGCCTCAGGCACAGCACCAGGAACGGAATTGCTCGAACTCAAAGCGTCTGAGCTCAATGAATCCCCTCCTGGCTCAACATGCTGTTGAGAGCTTGGAGTCGATGGAGGATCTGATGCGGCCTCATCACGTTGGGGAGGAACACTTGCTTCTGGACCTGAAAGAACTGGGATCACTGCATCTGGAAGTGGTTGAGGACGTCTAACCTTCAAACCAGGGACTAAGCGACCACCAAGACTACCCATGCCGTACTTGTAAGCCTTGCCCTGGAACTCCTTGAGAACCTGCCGGTTCCAATAATCTTCTAATGGTGCCACTCAAATAGACTCCAAGGGCCGTGCCGCAAAAATTAAGATCATTCGAGGGGACTTTGCCCAAGAACACACCTTGGACGAACTTGGGTTTGCCCTTCTTAATGTGCGGAGAAGACAAAGCAAAGTAGACTGTTTCACCGAACATTGCGAGCTTGCCCTGATACTTGACCCCGGAGTACTTCCGCCCACAACGCTGAAACAATTATGGAGGTGTCCAGCATGGGAGTAGGCCCATCCAATAAGATCATCGGAAGTCTTGAGGTCGATACCGGCTTTGGTTCTAACCTGCTCGAGCAAGGTGGCTCCAAGATCTCTCAAGGTCTGAATGGCCTGCTCTGCTGCCCCGTTGGTGGCACGCCCATAGGGTTGACTGGGCTTCGATAACGTTTTCAAACCAATCTTGTTCCTTGCCTGAACAACCATGGTGACCAAAGACTCCACAGCAGGCTCATTGTCAGCACGCACCTCGACAGTTTGATGTCCTAGATAGGCTATGAAGCTGAGGATTTTCTTTGCTGCATAGACAAGAGACTCATGGCCTTTTGAGGGAAGAGCAACTCCACGGCACATCCCAGTTGACCTGTCAACGATCGACAAGACAGTCAGGATCTCTTTGTCACCTTCTGACACTTTCTCCATGAAATGGTACTCGCTGCCTGCGATCTTGGCATACCAGAAGTCAAAGGCGATGCAAGGAAAGCCACCTGGCGATGCATGCTTCCCTCCACCTTGATCATGATGATCTCTACGTGAGCGGCATGAAATGCAGTAAGGGCACCAATTCTTAAAGGGAACATGAGTGAGGTTGTGCAAAGCCACCTCTTCATCCGACGGAGTAGGAGGAGTCGCTTGTGCTCTGGGACCATGTTCAAGAGGCTTCGCTGCGTTCTCCAAAGACAAGGAGTCTTCAAAGTTCCTACGCTTCATGTGGTTCACCAAACGTTTGAAAAGTTGCGCCTTACCACCGGACATGCCGATGCCGAGGGATTTGCAAGCTGCCTTCAAAGCTGCTGAGCTGGAGTCTGGACCAAGTCTGATCCCCTCAACCATCACATGATCATCATCTCGAACCATGACTCCTGGAGGTGGAGCTGGTACTTGAAGCGGAGGTTGTTCTTCTTGATCCTCCATGGGCAAATCAATCACTTCAGGCGGTTCATGAACTTCTGGGAGAATGGGGGCCTCGAATTTGAACTCGCTCTGGACATCAATGCCGCAATTCTCCAAGCTGCTCTCACTCCGGTGCATGATTGTCAGAACAGGAACTGGCATGACTACACCCGGTAAGAGCTCCTCCAATGACTGGCAACGCTCCAAAGGTTCCTGAAAGTCACACATCTCCCACTGCTCACCGATCTTGATCAAGGTTGCGCGATACTTCCACAGGTGAATGCCCATTTTGGGGGAAGGGTCAACAAAGGTCGTACTAGTGGTCAAAAGCGCTGGATCACCAAAGTCGAGAAACCCTCATTGGCCATCAACATGATCAAATGCAAAATTCAGCTTGACCAGTACCCGATTACCCCCTCCTGGCTTGGCCACCACAGGTTTTACATCCATGTCTGAGGTCTGGACCATGTGCACACTTGCTTGAACAACCAAGCTGTTCCTCTTGAAGGAGATCGGAATTTCAACCTCCTCAGGCGCATTGCACAGACAAAGACTGCCCTGACGTTGTTCGATGCTCCAACCTTGCCTCAGTAACCGTCCTAGGGACATCAACGGGGTTGAGACAGCTGAGGCGTAGAATTGCTCCTGGACGCATATTGGGCCGAGGTCTAGAGTGATAACGCGGGAACGCATAGTATGGCCTTGAGCATCCTGCATGCGCACTTGGCCATAGGTTGAAAACGCGTTTGACTGAGGCTGCTGACGTAGGGGCTGTGGAGGAACTGCTTGAGGCTGAACTGTTGGACTCTTCAGAAATGTGCTTGACCGAACCCTTGTTCATCAAGCATTCATTACCCCAATGACCTGGTTTCCCACAAATACGGCATGTGTTGTCATTCTTGTACTTGCCCTTGCCTTTGGACTGTCCTTTTGAGTCGCCCTTGCCATTCCACTTGCCTTTCTCGCCCTTGCGGTCATTGGATTTTCCATTGTAGCCCTTGCCCTTGCCCTCATTTGACCAACTTCCACCAGTGGACCAACTTCCCTTGCTCGACCAACCACCCTTGCCGTGCTGTTGTCCATAGCCCTTTCCATGCTTGCCACCCAACTTGCCCTTGTCGCCTTTAGTTGTAGTAGTTGTGGTAGCCTTTGCCTTTGTCCTTGCCTTTGCCCTTGACACGATCCACTTCCATGGGGGCACTAGTGTCGTTTGTGGTCGATGAGGACGTGCTATTAACAAGGGTGTGGCTCCACTTCTGGGTGTTTCGTTCCCAACGGACGACAGTCTCACGCAAAACTTCATATGTGCTACTCTCGCTGCATGTCATGGAAACATGGGTCTTCACAGACTGTGGCAACGAACGCAATAACAAAGCACTCTTCAAATCGCTTGCGACTTCAGAACCTGCTGCTTGACTGTACTTTCGGAAAAGCTCTTCAAGGCGCAATAATTGTTCGAGCACATTTGCATTACTCATTGCTGGGAACTGGGTGATGGCTCCTAGGACCTAGGAGGGCTAAGGATCTGGACTTGGATGCCGGTGCCAACGTTGTCGTGAGCAGTCTCCATGCTTCAAACCCATTACCTTGTTCTG